ACGCCCTATAAGTTCGGACACTTTTTAGCGCGGACCCGACGTCCATATAATTGTAAGTCAATGAGTTTATATGTTACATTGTATTAAAAGATGTTTTGTATGATTTTTTTTGTAATATATTAAATGAAAAATGAAAATGGTTGTTTTGCACGCACAACCTGATAAATGCTGAGGTGACCATTTTGGATTTCAATGTTTAGCAGTAACATTTACTGTATATTACTAGTCATAAGAAAATTAGACCAATTAAATAACATTTTGCTTTCTTTTCTTCAAATAAAAATAAAATCACAATTTCTTCAAAAGAAATTCCTCAATACTGTAAAACGTCGTTTGTAACACTTTTTAGCGAGTGTGGTTCGTTGGGTAACGGATTTCAGTGTTCAAGAGTTTCGTAAAAATCGGCTTCCGCCCGTACATCTCTCGCAAGAATTAAGTTTTGACGCATCCTTATCGTAACCACGGAAACAAAAAACAATAGAAGAGCCTTAACTAAAGCCTCGATTACTATTGGTACCGCTGTCTAGCTACCGCTGTACTAGTTAATAATTCAAAAAGACGTAACAAACTCTGGACTGTTAATGTAATTTAAACTTTGCCCAGTCGCTATATCGTTGAAAGTTATGTTATAGTTATGTTATAAGTATATTGTAATTTTATTCAACGTGCTGCCATCTTGCGACCAGTAGCAGGACTACGACGAACGATTAACATCTGAATCAATTGGATAAACAGAAAAATGAAAAATTTATTAAAGTAAGACTTGCCGAGATGGTATGAATGCTAATAGGGGTTATGTTTTTGGTGCGGCTATTATTTTTGCACTCCAAAACAGCACAATAAGGCATTTTTCTGCGATTTTAGAGAATTTGCACGAAAGAATGACACAACCATACCATGCAAAGCGAAAATTGCGGATTGAGCTCAAGAAGATCTTTGAGACCTAATGTTGGAATGCGTCTGACGCTAATTAACCACTTCTACAGTATTTATTGTTCTGTGAACGCAACTAACGTACGAACGACATTATTAGCGAAATTGAGTTATTAACTTATCGCACTGCTATTACAATAGCGTTGGAACTTATGTGAAATTCAAGTTATACCATGGTTGAACTTAAAATTTGTCCGTCGGTAGAATATTGTTAGATACAACTAAAAGATATCTACTTAACTCAAATTGAGACACACTTATGTGAGTTAGTACTGGAAAAAACAGTCCTTATTCAAAAATATTTTTTTCCCTTTTATTTTTAAATATATTTGGCAAGTGGGAAATTGTCTGTAATAAAGTATAACCTAAACATAAATTTTAATGATCTTTCACGGGAAGCCAGTAATTTTGAGAAAATACAGTTTTTAAGTTAATACACTATTGTATTAACGTAAAGTAAAATCAGCATAATTGACAGAGGGCAGATTGGAGTTAAAAGACTCCCTGTTCAGTGTAAATACCATTATAACTACCTCGGTGGCCGAACGGTTACAATGCTGGACTGCCAGTCCCAGGTTCGATTCCCGGGCCGGGAGAAATATTTAAATAGCCTACATTTATTTCTATCCTGAGTTCGGGTGTAATTTGTGGTTGTCTATGTGTGTGTCCATAGCACCCGCGATACAGCGATAATCTATAGTGCGGGGCTATGAGTGCATGAGTTATTATTATTACGGTTACACACGGCGGTTTTATGCAGCGATGCAATCGCGCGTTTGTGTCGATAGAGTCGCGCGCTTGCGTCACTGCTTAAAATCGCGCGTGTGTAACCGCTCAAAGACTAGGCTTTAAAAAAATCTGGAAATTAAAACATAACATATGCACTTACATAGAATTTGAATCAACCAGTTGCTGTACAGGTTTTATGAAACTTGTTATTTTGTGCAATTTATTATCTGAAAAAAAAAAAAATGTTCTATGAAAAACAATTATTTTCATTATATCGGTAGTCAATATAACTAAAAACCCCTTTGGATGGAAATGTGGGGTAGACCTCAATGTACATATGTCGAAATATTAAAGATGTAGTTAGGCTTAGTATACATGTCAATTGCGTAATGTAAAACAAATAGGATGCAGTATGCTACGCGAGATGCAAGACCTGCTTTTGGCTCATGTCTAGTTTGTATGTTACACAAACCGTTCACGTTCCCATGGTCCTGCCTCCCACGAGACATAGGGAGTCCCGGAGAAACTACGGGCAAAGACAGCTTTAAAAAAATAAACGGTTCGAAAGAAACTGTTGCGAGTAGGCAAAAGAACTGAGTCAGGAGTGTAGCAAAAGCAGGTTCATAGTCTTTGTCAACCTCAGTGAGACTCGAGCATGTATCTAGGATGTATTTCACCCTAACCTGCTGATAAGTTTCAGATGCTACTTATAACCTGATGTATAAAGTGAGCATGTCATTGACAATATAACATAATTAAAAATTGAGGAATACACAGGTTACAATATACACCCACCAGCAGCTTCTAATTGATCTTCTCTATAAACAGCCAAGGTTCTCAGAGTAGAGGAAATGGATTCACTCAAGTGGAATGTACATTCCAGATCTTTGCCAGACATTAGACTCTCTTCTGCTAATAGTTTTCTACCACCTGGGAAAATCGAAAATTCTTAGTTAGTATTAGGTTAACACACATCACTTGTAGTATGTTTTTATGAATATTTTCTGTCAATCAGATGTTACTGTTACAGGAAAATGGAGGATGTCTTGAAACATACAAAAAAGTATTTATTTATTTGTTACTTTGAAATATTTTAATATCTGAGTCTGTAAGTCTTTTTAAAAATTACTTTTACGTTGAGGAGCATTGGATCAAAAATTTCAAAATCAGATTTTTTCTTATTCTTCTACTTTAATGCCCAATGGCAGTTTTATGTATTTCTATGAATAATTTATCGAACCTACAAACAGCGACCACTAAATCCTCTTTCAACATACATTTCAAAACCCACAGATCTGAATACAATACTACAAATTTATTCAATGAGATTTGACAAAATTAGATTTAATTATTTATTAGATTTATCTGTTTTATTACAAAGCTCCTCATTTACTAGTTAACAATTTGAATATTAGAATCTATAAAACAATTTCAAAATTACTTTTACTAATAATTATCACTAATTGCAGGTCTCTTACCATGGTATGAATTTTTTTTTTCTTAGTCAACCTGTGACCATGGAGCATGTAATTGTTCCCAGACCAAAATTCACCATACAGCAGACCAAAATTGAACAAGAGACAAGTTGAGCAAGTACTACTTACAAAGTTTCAAAGACTTCAATTGGGTAACAAGTGAGGTCTTCTTTGGCACATGGTTTATTTATACATGCAACTTTGAATTGAAAATTAATCATTGACTCCAATCAACTTTTTTGAAAGCTTTGATAAAATGGAATAAATTCTCAGAACCCCAAGAAAGTACGATACACAAATGTATACTTTAAAATAGTCGAACTTACATTCGTAATTTGGTCCAATAGGCGTAGCTGGCACATCTTTGACATATTTATTCAGTAAATCCATGTAAAATGGTTTTGTGAAATTTATTTCGTCTGTAAATACGTCGAAATCATCCATTTTTACAATATTTTCTCGATAACAACACAATACAATAACAACAAATCGTATTTTTAAAATGACAACAGACCGTTATCGGTTTTACTAGATGGATTATAGCGTTACGTATTACCCAAACGAACAAAACAACATTAAAATCCGCTTAAAATCCTATCAAATCAAGGATATAGGTTTTCTTTCATCTCTTTGCGTTAACGTACTTTTGATCGAGAAAAACACGATGATAACGTCGTTTCGATTTACGCATTTTTAAAAATCAAAATAATGTGATTTTGCATTGACTTATGATTTTGACATATTTTGATGGATTTTGTGAAAGAAAGTCACAGTCACTTTTTTCCATCCTAGACAGTCACAGGCTTTTTAACGATTTAATTTTCAGTTTTTATAGTTATTACAGTTACATTCAGAGATGGGCGGTGGGTTAAAAACCAATTTGCCCTTTGGGTTTTAACTGAATTTATATCCAAATGATTTTTAGAAGGGTTTTTACCGAAAAAGGTTTAAACCCATTTCTGCCTAAAATCATGGGCAGAAATCATTATATTTAAATAAGTAAATAAATATAAATAATATGAATTTATAATTTCATAAATTTCTGAAAACTTTCCATGACATTTAAAGAAGTTTAAGAAACGATATTCCCACGAAAATGGCTTTCTTTGGCATTATTTCTCGATATTCAGAAATTATTCCAACATTCCCGAATTATCAAGCTGGGCTCACACTCACCGTGTGACAATTTCAAGATCAGTTTTTGGCTTCGTTTTCGGGTATTAATTTGTTTTAAACCGAATAAAACCCGACATTTTCAAAGCGCCGTTGCGCCGGGTATATTCATCACAGCAATAAAAGTAATACATACGTATAGTCAAGAGCATGTCAAGCTTACACTTTGTACTTTGGACCGTTCTTATCGTAAGCGGCATAGAATTGGATTTAAATCTTAAGTGTCAAGCTTGACGTGCTCTTGACCCTGTACATAACATAATCTGTGGCATTTGTTTTGTTTTGTGACTTTTGTGTTCTTACTTCTTCAAGTGTAATCGAAATGTTGTGAAATCACCTGAAAATCACAACATAATTTATTGTGAGTTTAATCACTATGTAGAAAACAGTATTTTTGTCAGCAAATAGAAGTGTAAGCGAACGTAGGTAACCAAATTACAGAATACGTTTAGGAAAAACAACCTAAAATTTCACATATTCTCGGTTTTCGTATTACTTTCGGTGATTTTTCACAGAAAACATGTCAGACGACGAAGTAATACGATTTGAGATCACTGACAATGATTTGGACGACGAATTTAATCCAAACAGAAATAGAAGGGCCAAAAAGGAGTTCCAGATTTATGGTAAGTAACAAGACGGTATAAAATCTAATAAAATAACTTGTTTTTGTAAGAATTCAGAAGTAAGAGTTGCTCCTCTTTACGGCAAAAATCACAATCTCCGTTTTATATGCCGTTTTTTCTATCATTAGATTAGGCTACTGAAAAATAACTCAAATGTCTCTCAAGCTTTTGAGTCAGCAATGACCACAGTGACAGACGCTCCCAAAGAAATGTGTACGGGTCATATACAAGATTTAGACGCTGAGTTTGCGCCCTACTTTACGTGAATCGACTGATTCCTTTTTATTATAATTTAGTTGATTTAATAACTCTGTCGCAATCGGTCACATAAGTATCCATATTATAACTTGTATTTAAACAAAAATAATCTTTACGATTGTACGTCAACTCTATAACTTAACTAACTACAACTAACTTTACCTACAATCAAGACGTCAAAGCCCATACAAAATGTATTTGCAAATCTGCACAATATCAATTTTTAAAACACTCCTCAACTTAAATTACCTAACCGTAAAGTAGACAATAAGCATGTTAATCAATTATTTCAGGTGTATGGGCCAAAGACAGTGATGATGATGAGAACGAAGATAACATTAGACAGAGAGTTCGGAAACCAAAAGACTATTCAGCCCCAATTGGTTTTGTTGCTGGCGGGGTGCAGCAGGCGGGGAAGAAGAAAAACGAGAAAAAAGGTACGGTTTTAACTATCATCATTGAATTACAAATAAATGGACGACGGGTCTAATACAAAAACCACGAAAAAAATGTCCCAAGTCAACCTATTTAAACGTAGTGACATGTAAAGGAATATGAAAAAGCTAAAACATTGAATTTAAATTGCAATGTCATTGCAGTACTGTCTAATTTTGCTTGCTTCGCTGTCAGTCGAACAAACGAAGACTAAAGTGTGAATAACGCTCTGTATACGATTTTAACGCCCTATACGTTCGGATACTTTTTAGCGCGGCCCGACGTCCATATAATATAATTGTAAGTCAATGACTATCATACAATAAAACAAAAACAGCACAAGATAAACTTAAGAAGGATATTCAGCAACCTGTTTGATGATGCATAATATACAAAACCACTTCATTGATCCAACATTAGGCAATATTTGTTTCTTGTAGGTATTGGATCACCAATAGTGTAAGAATTGGCGTAGCGTGGGTGTGCAGAGGGAGCATACAATAATATAAAAATATAATAAAAAAAATTATGGTTTCTGTTAATTTTTTTAATTTTCCAGAGCTCCAATCAACTGAGCCCTCAACTTCTAAACCAATCATAGTAGATAGTTCAGATGAAGATGATGCAAATCAACCGAATGAGAGTGAAACAGCTGGCATACGTAGATCCGGTATGGGGATGAAATCGGCCAATATTGGTGGCAATATGGGAACTTGGGAGAAACATACCAAGGGGATTGGTGCTAAATTGTTGCTTCAGGTATGTATGTGATATGCAATTGTTTCGGACCATTGCACACAGAGTGGGCCATATTGGACCATTGTGCTCTGATAAAGTGACATTAAACCATTACACAAAGACTGGGCCAAATTCAAAGCATATTTTGCATTTAAATTCATCATCAAAAATTTTAAATAACCTACTCCTTAATGAGAAAAAGACAAATTGTGTGAACGTTACATTACCCAATGTTAGAGAAACTGTTACAAACATTGGAGTTAGAAATGAAAAATTGAATCTTGTGGATACAGTTGTCCTTCTAGGTATAACGTTAGATGCTAAATTGCAATGGGGTTCACATATAAGTAAGTTATCAAAATGGCTCGGCTCTGCAGTGTACGCGATTAAAAAAATACGGAAACTCTCAGATGTTGTTTACTTCAGCTACTTTCACAGTCGAAAGACATACCGCATTTTGCATTGGGGTAATGACGCCGATATCAATAGAATCTTTGTCGTGCAGAAACGTGCGGTTAGGGCAATTTACAATCTGGGCCCCAAAATTCCTTTAAGAAATAAGTTTAAGGAAATTAACATTCTTACACTAGCCTCACAGTACATTTATGAAAATGTAATTTATGTTAAGAGGAATAGTAATTTCTTTCTGAAAAATAGTGACAGACGTAACATTAATACGAGGAATAAAAATAAACTAGCTGTTCTTAATAGTTGTCTTCACAAAGTCACAAATTCACTTAAGGGGCAATGTATACGCTTCTATAACAAGATTCTGGCTGATATACAAAATTTACCTTTCACGAGGTTTAAAACTATAGTGATACAAAAACTTTATACTAAAGGTTTACTATTATACAACTTCTGCCTACTTGGATGACAAAAATCCGTGGTAGTAAACCGTTTAGCTCATGGAGGTAGTCTCGATCTCTGATGTTTCAAAACAAAAAAAATATGTTGTAAATGTTGAACGTGTACAAACGTTGTTTACAAAGAGCAACCCCTTGAGTTTCTTGCTCATTCTTCTCAGGGGAATCTGCCTTACGAATGAGCGATAGAGTTTGACCAATGTGACGATGTGTAATAATGCTTACCTATAAAATAAAAATTATTTTCATTTTTTTTTATATTAAAACATTACCCTGTCAAGTTGTGACAGGGTAATGTTTCTTTGGACTAATGGTTGGTGGACTAATGGTTCTTTAAATATGAGGAATCGAGTACGAGAGTAAGAGTACTAAGAGATATAAGAGTACAGTAGTTCCCAAACATACATGAAAATCTTTTTTTAAAGTCTTCGAATTTATGACAGACATCTCATGCTGTAACAAATTATTTCCAGATGGGCTACCAACCTGGCAAAGGTCTGGGTAAAGACTTACAAGGTATATCAGCACCTGTTGAAGCCACCATCAGGAAAGGCCGAGGGGCCATTGGCGCTTATGGACCTGAGAAAGCCGCTGTGAGTAAATATACTGAATAAAATGCATAATATCATACTAGGCTCCTAATAAGGTAGGCAGAGTTATGGAAACCAGCAACCAACATAGATCTATGTAAATACAAGCACCTGGACACCCAAATCGTTCCAGTGAACCGTAAATGTGATAATAATAATAATAATAATAATAATAACGCTCACAATCAACATAGCCCCGCACTAGGGAAACCCTGTGTCGCGGGTGCCATGGACACACACATAGACAACCACAAATTACACCCAAACTCACGAGAGAAATAAATGTAGGCCATACAAGTATTTCTCCCGGCCCGGGAATCGAACCTGGGACCTCTGCGTGGCAGTCCGGCATGGTAACCGTTCGGCCACGGAGGCAGTTAATAATAACTTCAACATAACTTCTACTAGCACATATTCATTATGACATTGTATCTAAGAAGTTAGCGTCCAAGCATAAGGTGTTTATTTTTTAAATCAAAATTAACAATTTTTATTCACAACTTAAATGTGTGCATTTACAGTGCTTTTATATTCTCAATGTACCTCGGCAATCATCTGATTTCCGAATGCACACAAATATTAATGTCCATGCCCATATTTTGATCTCCATGTGAACTATATAGAGCTGTAAAAGTATTTCCCTATTTTTAATAATATTTACTTCATGGCAATAAGCAAGTTAAAAAAAAGTAAATAAAGAAAATATATAATTTCAATTCACTCTGTATTCTGAATGCATTTCTTCATCTGATAGCCTATATATATATTGATGATCGATGGAATAATTACTTTCCGCGCTGCTCAAACAGATATTTATTATAAAACTGTAAATAATAAAGATGATAGCGATATAATAATTGTAATCAATAAAAAATGTTATAGCAACTCTATATACTTCCAAGTCGACTAAAAGCGTCCGGTTAGTATCAAAGGCAAAGGGCAACTGAATGAAACACGACGACAGCCGAAACACGAAGTTTGCTGAGGGATATTGAGAAAACAGAAGCACTGTATATTTTATTTTACCGTGTATTTTCATTCACTGTTGAAGCACCCAAGTGTTTTATATAAAAATAGTGTGTTTTCGAGTTTTTAAAAAAAAAATATATATACGATATGTATTTTATCCCACAGCTGAAAGCCAAAAAAGAAGAAGAGAAACGTTTAAAAGAAAAAGAGGAACAAGAGAAGGGGAAACAAGAGAAGACCTATAATTGGAAAAAGTGTCATAAAGGACGTTATTTCTACCGAGACGCTGCCGATGTCATCTTGGAGGGTAAACCGTCTATGCACACAGTTTCAAGGTACACAGAAATTTCATTCAGAAAATGATTATCACTAATATCAGGTTTGAAAGAAAGAAAGAAAGAAAATATATTTATTTGGTCTTCATTACATTGACAATAACTACTTTACAACCACAAAAATAAGGAACCAAAAAGGTCACCACTCAGCATGTGCCAGTTTGCTCACGGAGAAACAGACCGGCGCTGATATTCTGTGGCCACCACAACAGAAAGGACACCACTACAACGAACATACACTTTAACAACAGGAACATATACATACATCAACTTAACATAATATAAAATATATAACGGTTTTTAAACGGTTTTTAAACATCACAATAAACAAATAATCATTAAACAATGACAATGGTTTCTTACCACGGTTGCACGCTCCATGGTCACGTTGACTGGACGGCGGCATAAGAGCAGACATATCTGTCTACCCGCTTGCGCTGTCGACGACTACCTTCATCGCGATTTGTTGTGGCGTTACCATTGTCACTCACTTTTTTTACACAAACCACACTCACTGTATCCACACGCGAAACTGAACTCGAGGTGTTTTTGTTTTTATTACTGCACGCACTAAGGACCGGATTTCATGCACTGGACAGTTTGAAACCATCATCACGGTTAAATGTTTTGTACAACGCGATCTCAATTACTTCTCGTACCAACCGTGGTATGTAGTGACGTTATGTCGAGAGTACCTGGGGGCTATGGAACTCGATCCAGTGGTTAGTGTCAGTCTGTGGGAGATGTTGTACTATAGCCGACTTCTGTGCATCATTGTTTTTTACTGCTCGGATGTGTTCCTTCATACGATCGACAATTGTTAAGGAAGTTTGTTGATTGTGGCTAAGTTGGCATAGCGTCTGGCGCTGTTTGCTATGGTTAAGCGACGTATGTCGGTTCGAATCCGGCCGGATCGAAGGAATGTTTTCTAAGTGTTCGATCTTTGTATTAATAAATTATAACAAACTAGTGGAGTAATTTTATAAAAGTTTAAAAAACAGGAAGGTTTGTAAATTATTCCAGCGTGCCTTTTGGGTCATGTCGCGAATCTAACATGCAGATTATCCGCAGAAGCTGATATTCGCAACAACCCTGTTCTAAACTACAAAAATTTTACTTTGCAGTAGCGAACTTTCCCGGGTGCCGGTCATTGACATGACTGGCAAGCAAAAACGAGTCCTTAGCGGGTATCACGCACTTCGCGCTACCGCGCCAAGGTTCGAACACGAACAAAGGCGGGATTGTCGAAACTTCGCAGCGCCCGAGCTTGCTAGGAACCTGGATGCTATGCTCGAGTGCTGTGAACAGGTATTTACAATCCCTTACAACTGCTTCTATCGTCCATTTCACATAGCATGGGTACAGTTTTTTTTACGATTGTACGTTGTTCCATTCGGTGGTGTGGGAAAAACAGCAAAACATCTAATTACAAAACAAACGGAATCACATTTCGTCGGTATTTAGAAATATGTAATTTATATATTTTCGTCCATTATACAAAGCTCAAGTTTAACTGGTCGATTTGAAGTGAAACAACATTTGACGACACTCGTCAATTGTTTCGAATTCGGGCTGGCCAATCGGATCGCAGTTCACCGTAATGATTTGGCAGAACAGTTTTTAACAGATTAAATGACATTTCGTCTCTATTTCTGGTTACATACTCGATGATGCACACGTATTGACTCGTGATACATAATAGCCGATTCGATTATCGTTTCCATGATGTAAATGTCTATGGATAAACATTCCGTTTTACGCATCATGTAGTTGGGGTATTTTATTTTTATCTTTATCATTTCAGTTTCTATCTAATTTATATACTGTAATTTTTACTTAATATTACGATTGAAACAAATTTTTTTTGTAACCTGATTGTGAGAGTCATTAAAAGTAGTATGTATGTAACACAAAAATTTGAAATGTCACGGTACCCATCCTACGTGAAGTGGACTATGATTTCTTAATGTCCCTCGGCTATCATCGGATTTCCAAATGCATACGAATATTACTCTCCGTGCCCGTTAAATAAATTATTTATTTATTGCAAATAATGTTAGTACAGGCTAGATATGAGCGCTGCGTCGGCGCGCCGATCAGTTCAGTTCGGTCAGGCGCACGCGCAAACCCGTATCGTGTATTAAGTGGAAATGGCGATGCCAAAATTGACATTTCTTATATAGAACTTAGTGATTTTATATTCGAAGATGTTTTGTTTAAACGTTATATCGGAGCGCCTCATTGACTTACAATTATATGGACGTCGGGTCCGCGCTAAAAAGTGTCCGAACTTATAGGGCGTTAAAATCGTATACAGAGCGTCATTCACGCTTTAATCTTCGTTTGTTCGACTGACAGCGAAGCAAGCAAAATTAGACAGTACTGCGATGACATTACAATTTAAATTCAACGTTTTAGCTTTTTCATATTCCTTTACATGTCACTACGTTTAAGTAGGTTGACTTGGGACATTTTTTTCGTGGTTTTTGTATTAGACCCGTCGTCCATTTATTTGTAAGTCAATGGAGCGCCTGATCTAACTGATAAAAATTCGATTACTATACTGTCGTCCACTAACTGAAACGTGGCTAATTGACCAATGATCAAATATCTGTTTTAAACAGAAAAAAATTTAGCACAAAATTCTTTAAGAATAGTTAAAATTAGTTAATGGTTCGACTTATCGGAACTTACCCTAACGATGCAAAGCTGAAAGGTCACTAAACAATTTCAATATTTTAAAACTAGGTTATGGTTTTTTATGACATCTCAAAAAATTATTTCGACTCTTAACCGGCGGTTTACTTAACGGACGGCAGTATAGAAAATATGTTATTTTATTTATTCCTTTGAAAAAGTATTTGTATAATGGTTTTTGTAAAAACAAACACCGTTTTTTAATAAATTTTTTCACATCACTTTTTCATCGGCAGTCGCCGCGGATTGGTCTAACAACGGCGCTCATATCTAGTACCGACATTAAATAGGTAATAAGTACAAACAAAGTGGGGTGTAGCCATTGACTTACAATTATATGGACGTCGGGTCCGCGCTAAAAAGTGTCCGCACTTGTAAGGCGCTAAAATCGTATACAGAGCGCGACACTCCGCTTTAGTCTTCATTTGTTCTACGGACAGCGCGATACTGCGATGACATAACAATTTAAATTTCGAATAGGTTGACTTGGGACATTTTTTTCGTGGTTTTTGTATTAGACCCGTCGTCCATTTATTTGTAAGTCAATGGGTGTAGCAAATAAAAGTTAGTTCTCTCTAACAAGTAATAAACATGACTTTTGAGGTACTTAAAAATAGACACAAAATTCACAGAAAGTTAGAAGGAAGGAAAGTGTATTGTTACATTATGGAAGAGTTGAAGAGCTCACCAGCTATTTCACATCATCTTATAGGAGAGAGCCCATGAAGTCTCCTCACACTGTAGTGGCACCCATTCATCAAGAGACTTTAGTTGCTTTTTAAATTCCTGAATTTTCCTGCAGGATATTATTCAAAACGCTCGCGAACTTCAACAAGCAGAAGACGAGATTGTGGTCCTGGAACGTGATTTAGAAGAAGGTAGTAAGAAGCTGCGAGAACACGACGTGGTGGTCGGTAAGGTGCAGGATATTCTGCAAAGAGTTGAGGAATTGAACAAGCCTGATATTTCTTTGGAGACTGCTTACGAGGTCCTGGCCGATTTGAAGGTGAGATAAACAAAAGAAACCTTTATACCGATAATTGGTATACAGGCCCACGGCTATGCGATACGGAGGGAAAGTATATGTATGTACTTTAAATATAATTGTAGATCAGAATATTTTTTTATATTGATAGGACATTATTTATTTTTAAGAGTAAGCATTCAAAGATTTTTTATTGTTGCTTGCTTCACCTGTGAATCAAACTGACCAAATGTTAAAGAAAAACATCTTTTATGTTATAATTATTAAACAAAGAGCGAATATTAAAAAAAAATCACTTCGATTCGGATTCCAACAAAAAAGAATAATCGAAAACGGTTCACAAATGCCAGAGTAATCGCGTAACATTCACACAAAAAATGCAGTCGAATTGAGAACCTCTTTTTTTGAAGTCGATTAAAAACAATATCTCCATGAAGCAAAATATCCTATCTATAATGTTTAAATTACTATCTCTCCATGTCGCATAGGCGTAGTGCACCCTGTATATGTACATTCAACCCTATCGTTCACACTTGTCCTCAGGAATCGTACCCACTGGAGTATGAGATGTTCGGCCTAGGCACAATCGCGGCGAACATCGTCAGCCCCCTCATGAGTGCGTTGTTAGCCGCCTGGGAGCCTTTGCAGAACCCCGAAGAGCCTATTCCAATATTTTTGAAGTGGAAGAAGCTTTTGACCGACGACGCCTATAATACCTTGCTTTGGCAACATTATGTGCCCAGTTTGACGGCGGCCGCTGAGTAAGTTGATTACAAATTCATTCTAACTTTAATAACACCCGGGAATCGAATTCCGGACCTCTGCGTGCCACTGAGTTAGTTTAGATATACATGATTTATTTGATTGAAAATGATGATGGTTTTACTACCATTTTATTAGCAGTAGAGCTTTTTATAAAAGAATTCGTCCAAGGAAATACGGCCATCTTACCTGTTTCTGCCGCCAAGCAGTGCTCACATTACTGCATTCCGGGTTTGAAGGGTAATGGTGCTGGTGAAATTACAGGCACATGGGCTTTGTCAACGTATGTCTTAGGACGACAGATGTAGTGTTCCTCAGATCTTTGCGATTTAAAGCTCTGAGTGGCACTGCAACTGTTATGGACAGGCGTGTCGCTTAACACTAGGCACACTACAT